CTCCAGCATATTTATCACGTGGCCCATTGTCAAAGCACATGACAGTTCGACCTTCGGTTTTCATTAGGTTCATCCTGTGGCCCACAGTAAGATGACGCAAGTACGGCGTCTTGTGCGTGAATTTGGTTATAGTGAGAGTAAATTTGCGTCGGGCCTACCGCACCCTCGCCCTTTCCTCCACCTGAGTCCGGTATCAAGTCAAGAAGAGGTAGGAGAGGGCGCAGGTGGCTGGCGCGGCTGGAGCCACCTCTAAGCGTGCAACCACTTACGCTTCGGATCGCATGGATTGGGGGTGTCATAAAGGCCACATTAAAAAGAAGTCAATGCCTCCTCAGTCCGCCGGGCAGCTTTTTCATACGAACACACACTGGTCTAACCACGCGGTTCAGCTTATCTAATCAATTTGCCGCCTTCCGAGCCACGGCTCTTAGTGGATCTTGAGAATTTCAAGCGCGTCGGATTGTCTATGAGGAGAAAAGTGCGCTAAGCCATCGATATCACATTCTATTTCCATTCCCAGGCCCCAGTCACCATCCGAGCCGGTCAGTTGGCTGGTGCGGAGGATGAGCGCAGCTACTGATATGCCTAATGGCTTCATGTATGTGTACCACGTACACGACATCAGAAAAGTCCACGACTGCAAAACAAAATGGCGTTTACGAACTACCATTAAACACAGTCTCTTGCCAAGACTGAAGATGGTAGCATGCCTAGGTGTAGGATCCCGCCATGTCAGCCACTTGCCAGCAATTCCATTATAAGTTGATCAGGTTGAGCTGTCGGTTAATGTCTCCACACGGCAACATCCCAAAAGTATACGCTTCAGACTTTGAAGTGCCGAAGGACATGACGAGTCCTGCAGTTCCTAGCCCTCCCTGACAGGTGCATGGTGAAGAACAATCAAGTACTGAGTCCCCTGCAGTTGGTGGTGACTAACAAGTTATAACTAGAAATTCCGATTGGCCTCGGTATTTCCAAGAAAACTCCTCTAGCAAGTTGTTTTCCGTGAACCGAATCGGAACTAGTTTTGCACATTTTTAGTCTCGCTGCCCAGAACACGGAAACAGGGAAGTCCCTCATGTAGTAAAGGTGGCTCTGTGTCACATTCCAGGAAGGATAAACCGTCCCATTTCCTGCCACTAATCGTAATCCCGTATCTTACCCCTGCCCACTCCCCTAACCCTAACTGCCTTGGAATGTGGCGCAAAGCCTTGACGAACGTTCACCGACAGCTAACGGAACTCACTTGTTCCGCTCTGGCTTGAGTATCATTTCTCGAGTCCCTACAGCAGCCTTAGCGGCTAGTAGTCTAGACAGATAGTACTGCCGGCAGAGACAAGGGAGACTGTTCCATTGTGTTTTCGGGGAGCCATATAATCTGTGAGAGTGAACCCCAAAGCATAACGGGACGAGTGAGTTCCATAACCGATCATGAGCACCCACCTACCATTGTTAGTATTCCCGGTGGATACCGACAAGAAAACGAAGTCGTGACGCAGCGGGTTTTGAGCGTTTAACTTCTAACCAACTGATCACGAATTGGAGCCTAGGGTTGTACACTATCTGGGGTTGGGTACGGTTGGGTGATGACAGCTAATAAGGCAGAAATGACCAGTCCAGTCGCCCTTGTCTTTGTCGGTAATGTCTTTCCGCATATAAACGGTCCATACCGCAGCCGTGTTCTGACATTAAGTTAGGGATCTAGAGGCTTTGGACTGCAACTGTAAGTATTTACGATATGGCAGGCTTCAGGGGAGGATGGTGTTTGGGCACATCTTTTGACGTCAAACCAAGTGACCCATCTATAATGAATCCGGATTTTCAAGACCCCCTCTCCCCGATGTTTATGAAACCGGTGCCGAGACGAATTAAAAACAAAATTAAATACCTTTGGTCAGTAGCCCTTCGAAATTTCTGTATCGACAATTGTATGCTCGAAAGTCTAAAAAAGACGGATAAAAATCACCCAGTAGCTCACAATTAATCAATAACTCGCTGTCGGCAGCTTTATTACTAAGACCTGCTTCTTTGCGTGCATAAGAGAAAAAAACTGTAATCAGTTGAGGACCCAATCCATGTCTGCTATAAGTGCAAGTCACGCGTGCCGACAGAGACCTTAGCTTAATCTCTCTTCATCTGTTGACCAGCGACAGATTCTGTCTGTTAGGCACAAGGTCATATGACGCGGAGCAGGCAGTGTAAGCCCAAGGAAAGTGCACGAACAGAAATCGAAAGATGACGGGCAAGCGAGGATGAAAGTTCTCTGCACACATAGAAACCGGGCTGTAAGTTAGACGCCTAAATGTAAGACTGATCACACTCACCCAGACTCGGAAACTGGAGAACTACAAAAGGTCCGCTTAAACTCCACTTAAGATGCGTAAATGCAAACAGGCGAAAGCGCACGGAGAAATAAACGTAGGTTGCTTAACGCGAGCAATAACACTGACAGTTGCTTAACGCGAGCAATAACACTGACAGTCATTCACCCCCGTTGGTAGTTCGCCTGTGACAGATTTAGACAGAGGATGCAGGGCAAGACAGAAGAACTATACTCTGACTCAAAATACAGTCAGTACTAACGCACAACGAGATGAACAGGGTCCGTAAAGTAGTCAGTGAACATCCAACCTACCATAATTAAAACCCCCGATTACAATCGATAGGACAACCGTCCCGCGGCTCAAAGGTAGAGCGCGAGACTCAGTCAAAATATCACACACATATATGTATGGAAGACAGGAGGGAGCCATCTGGGACCAGTTGTTTATTTATTCGATGATTCAAACTCTCACGCGAGTCCATCTTCAAAGAATAAACAATGTACAACTTGCAGACTTAGCTCATTTTTGTCGTGAATGACCTTCAACGGTGCCATTAATTTGTTCGCACAAAGCCTGATAGGCACTG